CTGCACATGCTTCAAATTATACCGTGATATGGATTTTAGGCCATATCGCCCAGCGCTAGTACAAATGTAACAGTACAATTTTATTTGTATAGCACATTTAAAAACCAGAAGTGTGCCAGAGTGCAATGACAGATACAAATACAAGCAATAAAGGCACAGTAGGCACAGGACTTGCATATTTTACTACGTTTACACTCAGTGGGATTTAACTCGGCCTCAAATATTTAGGTATTTATTTGTATTTCGTATCATTTCTAACTTGTGACTGACAGACAAATATTAATACATGATGCCCCCTGTGTGAAAGCTAGAGTTATATTTAAGGAAAAAGAAGATTTGATCCTTGTATGTTTCAGATACAGTGGAAGACAAACAGATGCAGTGAATATTCTTTTATTGATGAGAAACTGTGCAGTATAATGTAAGATGGTGAAGTTAGAGACATATTATTAAAATCTGGGCTGTAATGGTTGTATTGATGTATAGCAACTTGAAATACTCCCAAAAATGGCTCCACAGCATGTAAACATATAATATAAGCTCTGGCGGACTTGGTTCTATGGTAGGTCTTAAAGGGTTAAAATGTTTCACTCACACAAACAATTAGACTGAAAATAGTTCTTCTCACTATCATTCCAGTTTTGTTGGGTTGTTTTTTCTCTAACAAGCCGATTTGTTCACATCTGAAAGTTTAAGTGAGATGTGTTCACACACTATACGCATGTAAGGGGAGCAAAGGTGTCTAAATCAGCCGATGTCACATGGTCACTGACGTCAAACATGCGTTCTTCTTGTGCTGGAAAAGCTTGACCTTGTAAGTGCTTGAAAGTCCTTGAATTTGACCCTGGAAAGGCACGTGAACCCTGTTAAACCCAGTAACCTGCTGCCGTGTGATTGGCTCATTCGATGTTGAACAGGTGTGCCTAATCATGTGGCAGAGTGGCGTTAACAGTCCAGATGTGCACAGCTGTAATCGTTGTCCACGTGTCGTCCCCCTGCAGGAGTACGTGCGTCTGATTGGTCCGTGGTGCCAGGTGAACATCGCCTCTTGTCGTTTCATGCTGGCTCAGTGTTACCTCGCCAACGGTGAAGGCCAGAAGGTGGGTCACCATGGCAACCTCATGTCGTACAGGCAGAGTTGCTCGCCGTAACCTCACTTCCTGTGTGTTTGTTTTTCTCCTTTCGTCAGGCTCTGCGGTGCTTCCAGGAGGCGGCAACGGAGGTGGAGAAGGAGGAGTTTCTGATGAGGTTAACTGGAGGCGAGGACGAAGACGCCGCAGTCGCCCCTGCCACACCCCGACTGCAGTACTACAACAAGGTAGAAGGCGGGGATTCTGAGGTTCCACCTGACGCTGATGGTCAGAGCCGGCGAGGACGGGAAGCAGCGGCATGGCGTGTTTTAACGACTGTGCATTTTCCCCTCAGGTGCTGCGTCTGCTGGAGGACGTCGGTCTGCCCGAGCTCGTCATCCAGCTCGCCACTCTGGCCATAACGGAGGCCGTCGGCGATGTCAGCAGTCAGGTGAGATGTGGCGGTCTGACGGCGGCGTGCCGGCGTGCTGTCGGAGCGTAAACTGATCCGATGTCTGTGTTCAGGCGGCGCTGTGGACGCGGATATTCAAACATCACCTGGACCTCGGACACAACAGCGAGGCATACGACGCTCTGACACAGAACCCCGACGGCAGCATGTACGCACGCACACACACACAGGCAGTCAATGCTAAAGGTCAAAGGTCGCGTGTCTGAGCAGGTGTCTCTCTGTCTCTCAGGCAGCTGGACTGCCTCCGTCAGCTGGTGGTGGTGCTGTGTGAACGCTCGCAGCTGCAGGATTTGGTCAACTTCCCCTACGTCAACCTGCACGACGAGGTAACGTGACCTCTGACCTTTTGACCCCGTCCTTTAATCTGATGCCCTGAAGTTTTAGTTTTACGGTTGTTTGCGTGAAGCTAGATGGAGCGGCGGGGGTAGGTGGAGGACAAGTCGTTGCCCCGGGTCAGAGTGAGGCTTTGGCGGCCCTCGCACACGAAATGCATCCATCTGTGACGTCTGAGCACGTGCTGTGCAGCGACACCTCAGGGCTGAATCCTTCGAAGGACCCGGCCCACCTGGTCCGCGTAGCCGCAAAGACCGGAAGTGCGAGGCCGTTAAATTGGACGGTCTAGCCTGCGATGGGTGGCTTCTGTTGCCTAGCAACTGTGACATAAGCAGCTGTGGTGGACGTCATGTTGGAGAGAAATGGAGAAAAGCTTTATTTGACATCATTTGTTTGACTTTCACCTCAGTGTGATGCGTCTGGGAAGCGTACAGGAGTCTCCTGGCCAGCAGTCATGCTGGTGTAGCCCCTGACACTCATTCACTCTGATGGTACGAATCAGGGGTGGGGGGTATGAACGGTATACGGTACAAACAATATAAATCTGGCCAACGGTAGAGATTTTGACTATGGTGCATGTTGATGATGTCATCGAGCTGCGCCTGTTTTGATCGAAATCAGCGGCTGCAAACAACATCATCTGTAAATTATGCTGGGTGACAGTCAAAGAGACGAAGCACTTTTGGAATATGAGGAAAGCCCAAAACTGCACTTCCTGCACTTCTGTGCATTGATGCATTAATGCTGAATTCTCTGCAGCTGCTCTGTTCATTAAATACCAGCGAGTTCAACTTCAGTAACCCTACAAACGTCACTGCTGTTTAGTTTTCTGTCTTCATTTGTGTTGGAAGTGACAGCAGAGCTGTACGTTTGAATTCAGAGATCTCTCAGTCAGAACATGCTATATCATGTTTAGGTGGAAGCTAGCGAGCTAACTTCCTGCTAACTTCTAACTCAGTTGAATTTAATAAATTCAGTTTTCATGGATGTTAAACTTAATTGTTACACCTGGTAAAGCAGCAACGCTGATGATTTTATTACAGATGAAAGAATTTAGACCGTTTTTAACTCTCAGTGATCGTTAGACTTTGGAACCTGAAGGAGACGGAGTTTAGGACCCAGATTACTCCGGACTACAGCAGCTGTAATGTTGTGACTCTCCATCAGGCGCTGCGGCTTCGTAGCTTACCGAAGTAAAACATTTTTGACAGTTTTGAGCGCCGTGTAGCACATAAAATCTGTTTGAGGTCAGTAAGCACAACCAGAATTCATAGATAAGGCGAACTGTCGATTTTTGAGAAAATTAAGAGATTTTAAGTGTGCGGAAAATACGTTATACAGAAGAAAAGAATATATCGCGATATATATTGTTACTGCACATGCTTCAAATTATACCGTGATATGGATTTTAGGCCATATCGCCCAGCCCTACTACAAATGTAACAGTACAATTTTATTTGTATAGCACATTTAAAAACCAGGAGTGTGCCAGAGTGCAATAACAGATACAAATACAAGCAATAAAGGCACAGTAGGCACAGGACTTACAAATAAATACGTAGTAAAATATGTATTTCGTATCATTTCTAACTTGTGACTGACAGACAAATATTAATACATGATGCCCCCTGTGTGAAAGCCATAGTTATATTTAAGGAAAATAAAGATTTGATCCTTGTATGTTTCAGATACAGTGGAAGACAAACAGATGCAGTGAATATTCTTTTATTGATGAGAAACTGTGCAGTATAATGTAAGATGGTGAAGTTGGAGCATTAAACAGGCTGATGTTTGGAGGCTCTAACAGGAGAGAGGATACAGAAATATGACGTCCTTATAAAAATACTAACACGCATTATGAACAAACGACTTGGTATTTAAATGAGCTGCATGCTTTTCCCGCTGACACCAGCACAATCCCGCTGGGATGGAAAGTAAATATATTCTGGATCAATCAGAGCATCATCAAGTTGTCTGTGGTTCCCTTATGTTTCCTTCTTAAACATCAGTGAGCGGTTCCCTGTTACAGTTTGTTGGAGATGCTTCTGCAAATATTGAGAAAGTGTTTTTACCGGTTCCTCAACTACAGAGAGCTCTCTGCTCCCCCTGCTCTCCTCTGCATCTCTCAGCTGCTGCTGGCTCCTCCTCCTCTTCCTCACACACTGTCCTGGTGTCTCATCAGGGGTGGAGAGCCTCCGTCTCCTCTCACCTTCTCAGGCTCTTCTGACTCTGGACACTTGAAGGAAATCAACCACAGCAGTCAGCAACAAAAGTAGCAGAAGTTTATCAAATATGTGTGAACTTGATAATCAAAGACACTCTTTAAGGACAAACTGCAGCACAGCATGAGTGAGTCTGCATCCTCACCGATATCTGGTCAACCGTCTGCTCGGTGTTTCCTGAAACGTTTAAGTACGTTTGGCTTCACACCGACAAACCGACCCAGCAGAAACCTGAACTAACCGACCAAAGAGCCGCGTTAAACGGCCACGCCACGTAACTTAGCCGAAGGCTCGCTAAACGTGACTAAAGGCACATTATGCTAACATTTGTTCCGCGGTATATTTGAAGTGAGATAAAAGCCAGAACTTTAAGAATTTATTTCTGGGCCGCTCCAGCCGTCAGCCAGTTTTTCCCCAAAAAGATTTCTTCAACCTTTGATTCGCAATGAATCCTGGGATATGGTGGCTCACAAAGGACACACCGAGCCGTCCTTCAAATCTGGGGAAAAGAGCGTTCACCGCCTCGCTGTGACGTAATGCAGCCACCGAAGGATGCAGCCCCTGAATTTGGACACGGCTTTAATTGACTCCGTGCTGACCTTTGACCTCTGCTCTCAGGTTGTCAGCATCATTGAGTCTCGGGCCCGGGGACTCGACCTGCTCACCCACAACTACTATGAGCTGCTGTACGCCTTTCACATCGCTCGCCACAACTACCGCAAAG